TCTGAATGCATAGGCTTCATCCAATGGTAGTTTTGTATTCTCAGATCTTTGTACTCAAGTAGCTCACAAATACTTCAAAATCCCTAAAATTCTTTGCATCAATGCGCGTGATAGACATGGCAAATAATTTCTCATCTAACGGAAGACTGGTTGTTAATTGCATCCATATTTTCGGCGACCTTTCTTGTCTACATTTGGTAAGCTTTTGATAGTTTTCGGTGCAACGGATGAAATTTACATAGAACCAAATCTGCGAAAGGAATTTCACATCAAGTGGCAAACTTAAACAATTAAAAATATGCGGCTTTTGATTATGCGAACTTAAATCGCATCCTACAGGGTAAAGAGAATGAAATCTTTTAACAATTAACTCTTCTCATGAACAGATTTCTGGTTTTTTTCTAGTTACATTTATTTTTGTAGCCAAAAAATTATCGAATTTCCTAACATTTGTGAAGATTAGTAGCACCGAGTTGAGATAAAGCGTTGGTTTTTTTCACGCCCCTCCAGGTTTTGGATGATGTGGGTTCTTGGTGGTGTCTTCGAGCCCCTTCTGGTCGCACGGGACACGTCCCAAAAACGCACCTCGAGATTATTCCAAATCCCGCCAAAGAAGCCGAACGCTTCAATGACCAACCCATTGATCCCATAGTTGTTAAGGTACCCGTAATAGTCAAGGCTTCTGTTCAGCATCAAGAGGTTGAAGAGAAGGTTAAGTCGAGTGCTCCGAAAAAGCCAGCTACACCACCATCTGTTGCACCACCACCAACGCCAACTCCACCACCGAAAAAACCCGAATCACCGGCTCCTGTGCAAAACGAACAGAAACCCACGCCTGTGCCGCCCCCTCAACCTATCTTCCCCCCTCCAATGAGCTACCATGATAGACCACCCTACCATACAGTGGTGAAGGAGGTTATTCGGGAAGTGCCCCCTTATCGTCACTACCGTCGTGCAAAGTCAAGACATCAGAGCAAACGGAATACATCTCCAGTCTACTCCGACGGATCGGGCAGCTCTTGCACTTCCAAGACCAGTTCATCTTCAGGCGTCGCTTCGTGGATTTCCGACGGCGGGTACGAGAGAACAATTCAGCGTCAGCGGCCTCCCTCTCGACACCGACGTCCAAAACCCCAATCTCAACACCAACGTTCTTCTCATCGTTCCGTGCCTCAGCCCTTAAAATCCCCGGAACCGTCAACCCAGTCACATCACTCGGGACAATGTTGTCACAGCGGAGCTAGAAATTCAAACTGTCGGTACAGAAGCGTGTGCTGTTACTCATCAGCTCGTTCACGAGCTCGATCTTCAATAACGGATATGTCACATCGGGGATCGAGCAAAAAGGAACAATCACAGCAATCACAGCAGGTCCAACAACCACAACAACCGCAACAACCAATGATAATTCTGCTTGAAGCACCAAAACAAGAAGCTCCACAGCCAGCCCAGGTGGCTGAGGAGCAGTCAGTGGATGATTACTACGATCCTAATAATCAACCACAAATCTCGATTGTGCTTCCCCCCAACGCACAGGTCACACCCCAGATGTCTGCCTACACCCCACTGCAACAGCCTCAGTACGCACAAGCGCCCATGTACTACAACTGGTCGCCGCAATATTACCAAGGCTATGCGTGAATGAATGAGGAAAGGGATTCCCTGACTTTATGGTCATTTTCCGAATTAACTTATCTCTCTTTTGTCTTCTTAACGATCTTAAGCAGGTAATTTTTTTCTGAAGAAGTAACATGGTGGCGCTTGGAACTGAGACAACGTGTTGCCAACCGGCGGGAAGTAATTTTTGATTTCAATGGATGTACTTAGGTTGATGGAGTAAAACATCCTTATTTTCTTCAATGCTTTTGTAGTTTATTCAACTTTGAATTTGTCTAGTGTCTGACATCTCGATGGCCTCCTTGAGAAGCTCCGACTTTAAGAGATACCTAGGTCATTTCCTTACATCTAGTTAATTCTCTACTTATTGAGCAGCCTTGCTACAGTCGCCTTGAATGCATTAGGTCAGAAGAATTGAAGGAGTCTGGGTCCGGGAATTTAATTGTTTTATCACACAAAAGTCCAACCAGGGGAAGTAAAAGCAATCAGTCGAAATTTTTTGGTCCTGTTGAGGAAAGGCTTAACCTTGAGCCTTGGTGCTTGATGTCAAATTCGCAGCGCAAGCTTTTTCCATTGAGGTTATGGACAGGAGTGGCGTGTTTGAATCCAAATATAAACAAGTTGCTAGCAGGAGATTAGACGCAGGTTGTAGAAGTGTCAAATTGAATTGTCTGACATTGGTAGAATTAATAGATTCTGGTTTTGGATTTTGCGGGATTATCTACACTAAGCGAATACGAAACAGCAAAACTGGTTTAAACTTGCCCAATAAAGTCGTCTAAATAAATAATTCGTGGCTGTC